TGTCACCGGCGCGGCCCGGCCATGAAGCAGGACGGGGCGGCCCGGCGGCGCGGGGAAAAGGCCAAGGCGCCTCCCGACGGACCGCCGCCCGCCCCTCCGGACGTGGAGATGCAGGAGGAAACGGCGGCGGTGCCGGCGGGGGAGGCGGGAGGGGAGCGGCAGCCCCAACGGGAGTTGGATGCCATCACGCTGGAGGGTGAGCGGCGGACGGGGGGGGGCGTGCGGGCGGGGGTCTGAGCTGAGGATTGGGGGGCGGTGGAGGGGGGGCCGTGCTGAGCCCCGAGGGCGGCACGGCGCGTCATGCCCCGACTGTGCCCCGCAGACATCAAGGAGCACGTGAAGCAGCTGGAGAAGGCCGTGTCGGGGAAGGAGCCGCGTTACGTCCTGCGGGCGCTGCGGGCGCTGCCCTCCACGTCGCGCCGCCTGAACGCCATCGTGCTCCACAAGGCCGTCAACGGCTTCTTCACCTCCAACGGCGCCGTGCGGGATTTCCTTCTTGGCTTCCTGGAGGAGGTGCGGCTGTGGGGACCGCGCTGCGCCCTCGCGGAGCCCCGGCAGCTGCCGTGTGGGGCAGGAGGGCGACGAGGGGCTGCGTGGGATGGGATGCGGGCTCTGGGTGGGCCGGGCTGACGTCCGGCACGTCTCTGCCCCCTGCAGCCCATGGACACAGAAGCTGAGCTGCAGTTTCGCCCGCGGATGGGGAAGGCGGCCTCGGCTCCTCTCTTGCCAGAAGTGGAGGCTTACCTGCAGCTGCTCCTCGTTATCTACCTGATGAACAGCAAGCGATATCCGGAGGTGAGGCGCCCCGAGATGCGGCTCTAAACCTGAGCCCTTTGCGTGGCACTCCTGGGAGCCTCGGGACCTGCCTCCCCTCTGTTCCAGCCTGGGGCAGCCTCCGGGCTCCTGCTGCTCTTCCCGGGCCGCCGTTCCTCTTCTCTGACCTCAGTTTCCTTCCTGCAGGCTCAAAAAGTGTCTGATGACCTGATGCAAAAGATCAGCTCCCAAAACCGCCGGGCCCTCGACCTGGTGGTGGCAAAGTGTTATTACTACCACTCCCGCATCTATGAATTCCTGAATAAACTCGATGTGGTCAGGAGGTAGGGCTGACCCCGCACAGCTGGGCTCTCCCTGTGTTCTCTCCCTTTCCCCTGCACACTCTCTCCCTCCCCTGCAGCTTCCTGCACGCCCGGCTGCGGACAGCCACGCTGCGCCACGACGCGGACGGCCAGGCCACGCTGCTCAACCTGCTGCTGAGGAATTATCTCCACTACAACCTCTACGACCAAGCAGAGAAACTCGTCTCCAAGTCGGTGTTTCCCGAGCAGGCCAACAACAACGAGTGGGCCCGGTACCTTTATTACACAGGTGAGATGCAGAGGGTTCTGCGTGGTGCTGGCAGCTCAGGGTGCACACGGGATTGCGGTCCTGCAGATAACCTCCTGGAGCAGCTGGGGATGAGCTTTCAGGCGGGATGCAAAGCCTCATTTGGTCAGATGTGCTTTTCCACAATGCATTCAGCCCCTTCTGAACGCTGTCCCCCTCCCAGGGCGCATCAAGGCCATTCAGCTGGAGTACTCGGAGGCCAGGAGGACCATGACGAACGCCCTGCGGAAGGCACCGCAGCACACGGCCGTTGGCTTCAAGCAGACAGTAAGCAGCAGCCTGCCGTGCTCCCATGGGGTCTGCGCTCCGTGGGGAAGCCGCCCCTGGACTCGGCCTGGCCTCGGGGGCTCAGGAGCTGTTTCCATGCAAGGTGCACAAGCTGCTCATCGTGGTGGAGCTGCTGCTCGGGGAGATCCCGGACAGGCTGCAGTTCAGACAGCCGTCCCTGAAGCGCTCGCTCATGCCGTACTTCCTGCTGACTCAGGGTACGGTGCTGCTGCTGGGCCCCTGCCCCGATCCCGCTTCAAGGAAAGTCTCAGGGGGGAGCTGGGGTGCTGCTGGGGTTCCTCTCCCCACTCTGAGTGGTGCCCATCTGCTGCAGCAGTCAGCAGTTTCTGAAGGGCCGGCTTCTCCTTTCCTCTTAAATGGGGCGGGTGGCAGATGGCAGCCCTGCCTTCCCACCGCACCCCAGCCCTCCCTCCCTCCCTCTATCCCTCCCTGCCTCCCTCACATGTTTTCTCTTCCACCTTCCCTTGCAGCCGTCAGGACCGGGAACCTGGCCAAGTTCAACCAAGTCCTCGATCAGTTTGGGGACAAGTTCCAGGCCGATGGCACCTACACTCTGATCATTCGTTTGAGGCACAACGTCATCAAGACGGGTAGGAGGTGTGGCGGTTGGGGACCGTGCCACCACCAGAGGCCTGGTGGGAGGCTGCCGCCCTGTGCTGCATGGTGTGGGGCTCCACTCGTGTTTCCCCTCCCCCCAGGCGTCCGCATGATCAGCCTCTCCTACTCCCGCATCTCCCTGGCTGACATTGCCCAGAAGCTGCAGCTCGACAGCCCCGAGGATGCGGAGTTCATCGTTGCCAAGGTAGCTGTGCAGGAAGCCTCATCCCTGCTGGGACCTGGGCTGCCCACCGCTCCCACCAGGCCTCTCCTGCCCTGCCCCCACCACGCTCCCTTCCCAGGGCTGCTGGTTTTCGGTCGTGCCGCTCTGGGGGCGCTGAGGGCACCGACTCCCATCTCTGTGCGCTGTCCTGAGCTCGCCGCTCCCCAGCGCCTTGCTTTGCTCTGAGCTGCTGCCTCCTGGGAGGTGGAGTTGCCCTGACCGCTCTCTGGCTCGCAGGCCATCCGGGATGGCGTGATTGAGGCCAGCATTAACCACGAGAAGGGCTACGTGCAGTCAAAAGAGATGATCGACATCTACTCGACCCGGGAGCCCCAGCTGGCGTTCCACCAGCGCATCTCCTTCTGCCTCGACATCCACAACATGTCGGTCAAGGTGAGCGCAGCGCAGCTCCGTGGGGACCCCAGGGGGGCTGAGGGAGCACCGGGGTGGCACAGAGGGAGGAGGCAGTTTGGCTCGGGCTGCAGTAGAGCTGCTGTGAGTGGAGGAGCAGCGGGGCAGAGCGGAAGCGCTTCTCAGCTCACGGCTTCTCGCCTCCCTTGGCTTTCCAGGCCATGAGGTTCCCGCCCAAATCTTACAACAAGGACTTGGAATCTGCAGAGGTGAGCTCTCGCCCTCTCCCTGCTGGCTCCAGGATGGGGCCGGCTTCGTTCCGCAGCTCCGTCCCCAACGTTGGCCTTTGCTTTCCAGGAGCGCCGGGAGCGCGAGCAGCAGGACCTGGAGTTCGCCAAGGAGATGGCAGAGGACGATGACGACGGTTTCCCGTGACCTCTGGCCTGGCTCTATGTTTTTTTTATTTGTCCTTAGGGAAAATGCTGTCTGAGGAGAGCTGCCCCACGCGGCCCCGGTCCCCCCTCTGCCTTTCTTTTATAAGTACCTGCATGTCTGTACTGGGAGCGGGGGGCTCGCAGGGTTCGTCGGCCCCCAGCCACAGGCCCTGATCTCCTGTTCCCTCACCCACGGAGGGAAACCCTTCCCCAATAAACAAACATTCTTTTGAGGTTGCCTGTGGTCAGTTGTTGCTGAGCCCTGTGGGGCGCACACGGATCCAAGAGAGCCGGAGCTCCTGTGGACGAGGCCGCGGTAGCGGGGCTTCCTGGGCATCACTGTTACCCCCACAGCTCTTGCACTGATGGAGGGGTCAGACTTTGTTAAGCTTCAATTATGACTTTAAAATAAAACTCGGAAAAACACCCCCCTGTCCTCCTGCCGTGGGTTTGTTGTGCTCGGAGGGGAGCTGTGCTGGGACCTCGTGCTGCTGCCTCCTCCCCTCCCATCCCTACTGGAAAAGGCTCCAGGGCGGGGCCTCGGTGTGCCCCACAGATAACGGAGTGGGGATGGAGGTGGGGTGGGGGCCCCACAGCCGGGTGCTGCTGGCAGCTGGGAGCAGCTGCTCTCGGCCTCTAGGGAAAATCTGGGAATCTCCCGGCACGCCTGGGCTGGGCTGGCGGCCAGGGCTGTGCCTCCAAAATGGGGCAGCCCCAGAGAATGGATACGGCCCCGTCCCCGCTCCAGGAACACGGTGGGGTCTCTGGGTCAGGACGGGGCTGTGAGCCCAGCCAGCACCTTCCAGGGACGCGGGGACACCCCGGAAGCGGTGACTTCCTGGCGGATGCTGGGAGGGGGGCTGAGGGTCAGCAGAGGAAGAGTGGCCACGAGGCAGAACCGCAGCGCGTTGCTGACCCCGCAGTGCCACCCACGGGGTTTCGGTCTGGCTGCCACTTCCTTCCCTGGAAGCGTGGTGGGGGCTTTGGGCCCTGTGGGTGTTGATTCAACCCCACCCTGAGCCTCAATTCCTGCCAGCAGTGACCTGCTGAGGCAGCAGCGCTGCTCGAGGAACGGCGACCCTGCAGTGCTGTGCAGGGGAACGGCCCCGGCTGCTCCCTGTAGAGCAAAGGCAGAGCTGGAAGGATTCCTCCCAGGAAACCACAGATGGGCTCCCAGCACGAGGTCCTTTCAGGTCCTTTCCCCACCTTTGTGATGGTGGGGTCTGTCATCATTAGGCTTCAGAGTTAACGCCTGCATGGTGCTGGGTGAGGCCTCCTGTGCTCGTGGGCTTCTTCCCCTTCTGGGGGCTCAGGGGGGCAACGCCGTGTCTGTACCCCCCCTGGGCAGTGCAGGGTGCCCAGCAGCAGCTGACCCAGCTGGCGTCGGCCCATGAGATCCTCCTGGAAGCACTCACTGGAACTGGCCCCGACCCAGAGCCCACGTCACTGCGGGGGGGCCGGGACCAGCCAACCCCCCGGGGCTGCCCCTGGATGCCTCTTCCCCGAAGGGGCCGGCAGGGAAGGTTCACGTGGGGGTTTCAGGCACGGCGCTGCCAGGTGCTGGGTCCCGTGGCCACGGTGGTCCCTCAGCCACGCCGACACCACGGCGAGGGGCTGAGAGCCACCGCCGCCATCCCTACTGCACAGCGAGTTAATGAGTGACCAGCCGTGACCAGGCGCGGCACCGGCGCTGCCCACTGCCAGCATTCAGCTGGGCACCGCTGTGCTTCGGTGGCACCGCAGCGCCAGGAAAGCCCCACAGCAGCGCAGCACAGGAGCACCCAGCGCCCGGGATTTGCATGCTGGTGATTAAGACAATGAGGCAATCAGCACTGTTGCCACATCAGTGTGAATCCCCACAGCCCTCTATAAAATGCCCCGATCGATGAGGGCGCGCAGAGCGGGGCAGGGCGCTGTGCCGGGCCGGGCTGTGCTGCAGGAGGAGACACAGAGCCAGACACCATGTGCTGCCTCACCCGTGAGTACTGCAGACCCATGGGTGGCACCGGGGGGCACGTGGGGCTGCGGCCCTTCCGCCCTCCCAGCATCTCCTCCATCCCCTCCTGTGCTCCTTTGGGCTCCCATCCCCGATGGGGTCCCCAGAGCATCGTTGGGGCGACCCGGTGTCAGCGTGTGACCCGCTGTCCTGCAGATGTGCTGGCGCTGGCGCTGGTGCTGGGCGCTTCGTGGCAGGCGCTGCATGGAGCTCCGCTGGCCGAGCTCTCGGGGGACCACGACTTCCAGCTCTTCCTGCACAAGAACCTGGAGTTCACCCGCAAGATCAGGGGGGACGTGGCTGCACTGCAGCGCGCGGTGGTGAGTGCCCCATTAATGTGACCTCCACCCCCCAGCCTTATCGGCACTGCGGGGCTGTGGCCGGCAGCCTCCCTGCGCCCCATCCATCCCTGGGCTGCTCCGTCCTCCCCACCTTGTGCTCCATCCCTGCTCCATGCAGTGAGCGGGGGGTCGCCGTCCTGTGCTCATGCAGACAGTGTGTGGGGGGTGAGGGGGGGGGTCCCGCATCCCCTGGGGGTATCGTGGCACCCAGGCCGTCTCATGGGGCTTCACGAGCTCTGCAGCCCTGACCCCGCGCCCTCGCCCGCAGTGTGACACCTTCCAGCTGTGCACGGAGGAAGAGCTGCAGCTGGTGCAGCCGGAGCCTCCCCTCACGCAGGCACCGCTGGATCAGTGCCACAAGCGCGGCTTCCAGGCGGTGAGTGCCAGCCAGCACCCGTGGCACGAGCTGCCCGGCCTCAGCCCGGCCGGGGGTCCGAGCACCAACCCCCCCCGCTGCCTTTCCCCCGCAGGAGGCGTGCTTCAGCCAGATCCGCGCCGGGCTGCACGCGTACCAGGGCTCGCTGGGAGCCGTCCTGCAGCTGCTGCCCGAACACACGGCGCTGGTGGAGACGCTGCAGTTGGACGCCGCCAACCTCTCCACCAACATCCAGCAGCAGGTGAGCAGGGGCGGCACGCGGGGACGCGGGGAGGTGGGGGCGGCCCGGACCCCTCGGTGACACCGCCGCTCCGTGCCGCAGATGGAGGACCTGGGCCTGGACACGGTGACGCTCCCGGCCGAGCACCGCAGCCCCCCGCCCGCTTTCTCCACCGACTTCCAGCGGCAGGTCGGAGGATTCTTCATCCTGGCCAACTTCCAGCGCTTCCTGGAGACGGCGTACCGAGCGCTGCGGCACCTCGCCCGCCTCTGACGCCCGCCGCTGCCCCAAAGCCCCCCCCCCCCCCAGCTTATTTAATATTTATGCCTATTTAATATTTATCCGGCCGGGGGGCCCCGCTGCCCCCCAGCCCCCACGCAGGGTGCCGGCCCTGCGCTGCCGTCCGTGCACGGGTCTCTGTGCGGCACCACCCATGTTTAATATTTAAACACAAGCGTATCTCTGCTACGAGGTTTGTGCCAGTGTCCCCGCGGGGAGCCTTCATCCGCTCCGAGGATGCTGGAGCAGCACCGTGTGGGTGCGGGGATGGAGCTGCGGCGCCGCCGCTGCCGGCTCGTTTCTGGGAGCCGTTGGATAAGCAGGGAGGGCAGCGCAGCCCGGGCCGGGGTCCCGCAGTCGGGGCTGAGGCTCCGCTCCGCCCGCCCCGAGCTCCTATTTACGGCAGCGTAACTTCTTTGTGCCCCCGCACCCACGTTTGTATCTCAGAATCTCACCGCTGCTCCGATCCTCCGAGCGGCGTTTTGTACTGTATTTATTCCTGCAGCTGGGTCAGCCCCAGAGCAGCGTGTGCTGTTTTTTATACATGTCACAACGATGGAAATAAACTCTATTTTGGCTCCAACATCTGCGCTGCGTGCACCTCCACGAGATGAAGCTGTCCGGGGAGGGGGGGAAAGGAAGGGGGGCTGCTGCTCCGGGACCCCCGGATGCTACAGAGCCTCCGAGAGCAGCGGGGACGGGGATGTGGGGACGCCAACACAGAGGGCTGCGCCCAGATCTCCATGTGGCAACGGGGAGGGGACGCGTGGGGCGCAGGATGTGAACCGGGGGCCGTTTCCTCTCCCCATCCTGTGGCGCTGCGTGGGCAGAAAGTTCTTAGAAAGCACCGCAGATGTGCGCTGCGTCCGGGCAGCAGCAGTGCTGGTGGTGCCGGTGGCATTGGAGGTGGTGGCGGTGGTGGCACTGCCCCAAACCCTCTCCGCAGACCCCGGGCGGTGGCGGTGCGGAGCTTCAGCCGTTCCCCTTTCTCTGCCCCCACGAGGCGTTCGCCCCACGAGAGATGGGAGCCGAGCAGCCACGGGGGCGCGCTGAGGGCACGCAGCGGGGCCGGGAGAGCCCCGCACGGCCGTCCCCGGCCGCTCCCCGATGCCACGCGGCTGCCGCCTCGCCCCGGGCCGTCCCCGCGTCCCCAAACGCTGCGGCATCCGCTGCCTCGCGCCCGTCCCGTGCTCACATCCTGTGACCGCCGCCGTCCCCGCACCGCGGCTGAGCTGCGGGTCCCGAGGGGTCCCGTCCCACCCCGCACCCCCCAAACCTCCCGGCACGGAGGCGGCTCGCGCTGTGCCCCGCCAGCTCCCAGCCGACGGCAGCAGCGCTCCTTCCTGCCCCCTTATCAGCGCTTACAGGAAACCCCTTCTCCCGGCTCCAACCCTTTCCTGGAAGGTGAAGCGCTGGGAAGGGCCAAAGCTGCGCACAGGGCTGCAAATATTGACAGAGCGAGGGAGCAGCTGCTCTTTGCTCCGTGTTAACGGTAAAGAGGTGTGCGGCCGGTCAGTGCCAGCGTGCCGAGGACCGGGGGCTGTGAACCCCATCGCGGGGCTCAGAGCAGAGCTGCCCAAGGAAGGCAGGTGCCTCCCCCAGCCCGGGCGCCGCCCTCCTTTGCTGCGAGCCAAGCAGAAAGCACAGCCCAAAGGATGGGAGGCCGGGTGCCCCTGGCACCCCCTCGGGGATGGGGTTTGGTGACGCTCAGCAGGGCAGCTGACCGCTGCTCTGTTACTCACTGCAGGCTGGGCGCTGCGCTCACAGGGCGAACTCACACGGAGGAATTTCCAACAGGAATGTGCTTGCAGCTGACAGCGAGGCAGGAAAGCATCCCCGCTCCACCCCGAGAGCAGCACACAGCACCTCGTGCCGGGCTGCAGCCGCCCACCACCACCCCAGGCCAAAGCAGGGCTGGGGCCGAACCCCACGGCGCCGCTCCCCCATCCCACTGGGGCTGCGATGCCATCGGCAGCACGGGGGGAACACGGGGCAGGGAAAGCAGCACGGCAGCCCCGGCCACAGCCGAGGCTCTGGGAGCAGCCAGGATCCCTGTGAATCAGCCCATAGCAGCACCGTTAGGTTCTGTGATTCACCTGCATCCTCCTCCAGCCCCCGCCGCGGGCAGAGCGGCGTTCGGCTCTGCATTAAGGACCGAGTGCCACATCCTCCCCTGCCCAGCGCAGCACTGCTGCTCACTGCCCTCCCCTGCCCCAGGGCAGGGCCGGCCCCAGCCTCTGCCTCAGCACCAGCTCAGAAAATCAAAGAAGAACGAGGCAACGCCAGATTCTACAAAAGGAACGAATGAATTAGAAAAACAACGAGCAGTGGGGTGGTCTCAGCCTCGGACAGCCCAGTGTGAGCCTGCCTCGGGGGCTGGGCACGGAGGGGAGCTGCTGCCAGCTCTGCCCTCACACGGGGCAGCATCAAACCAGGGTGATGGAGAGAGAGCTTCAGGGGTCCCAGCCCCAGTCTGGCACTCAGACTCCTGGAAGCCCCCCAGCAGCCACTCTGCACCTCTGTCCCACACAGCAGAGGCAGAGCCACGCTCACAGCGCAGCGATGGCTTTGGCAGCGACGCGGCGGCCCAGGGGCAGACCCAGATCCGTGATGGCCAGGACGATTTTGGGACTGGACATGGTGGAGACTTTCACCAGCTCTGAAACCTGGCAGAAGAGGAACAGAGCTGACACCTTGGGGTCGCAGAGCAAAGTGCAGAACTCAAAGCAGCTCCTCTGCACTCCCCCCACGTTCTCCCCATTCCCCAAGTGTCCCTGGCCCGCGGGGCAGAGCAGAGAGGAGGACTCACCATGGTGAAAGGCATGAACTGCAGGATGCTGCCGTGGCTGCCCTGCTCCAGGCAGTCCACGCACTCCTCCATGAACCACTGCACGAACTGCGTGTGAGTGCCAGCTGTCTTGGAGCCCAGGATGGAGGAGATGAGCAGGAAGAGGTTTGCTGTGTGGACAGGGAGCCGTCAGGGCAGGCGGGCTGCAGCAGCTGAAGGCACAGCTCTGCCTGCCCGCGTGGCTGGGCTGACCCCCATCCCCGTCAGCCCAGCTCACAGCCAGCCTTCAGCAGCAGGCTGCAGCCCCCCTTACCCAGCACTCTGTTCAGAGGGTCCCTCATGCTGACAGCGTGCAGCTGGGAGGCAGACAGGGAGCTGCTCATGGAGCGATCTGCCGGGGAAAAGAGCGCGTCAGGATGGGGCCGGGGGACGCTTGGAGCCCTCACTGCCCTGAGCCACGGGGGGCACCCAGCCCTCGGTGCCCCGCAGAGGAGCACAGCAGGGCTGACCCCAGCTGCCCATCCACGCACGTGTCCCTGGCACGACGGAGATGCGTCAGCACGCTCTGCTCTTGCACATTTCTTCCAAGTCTGACCAAGCCCAAAGACATTTCCAAGGCTGAGCGTGAGTGAGCGAGCGAGTGCCTCCCTGCTGGGCTGTCACAGCACGGTGACTCGGCCCTGACACCTCACGAGAGCACAGTAATGCAGTGTCACGACTGAGGAGCAAGCAGGGCTCAGCCTGGTGCACGGCCCGGACACATCCTGTGAGTGCTGCCAGCAGGGCGGGCCAGCCCAGATGTCCCACAGCTGCACAGCAGCACTCACAGCTTGCTCTCGGGTAGGACTGAGCTGTCAGAGCCACGGCGAAGCCAATGACAGGCAGCAAACAGGGGGCAGCCAAGGGGGGGATCTGTGTGGCCCCCACCCCGAGGTGCTGCTGGGTGCTGCTGCCCAGTGCTGCTCCTGGGCTGAGCCACGGGATGCAGCCGCTGCCGAAAATCAGCTCTCGTGTTGGGATGCTCTGGGGATGCTCATCAAGAAACAAAAGCCCTCCCCCACTTTTCTCATGGAATCACATGAGTTATGGGGCTGCTGCAGGAAGCAGGATTTCCACATCACGGCAGCAAACAGCCCAAAAAAAGTCCTGAGTGTCACTGGAAAGAGGTGGAACCGCACCAAGAGTTAAATAAAGATATCGAAACAAAGGGAAAAGCCCGCATTTCAACAGTGATGAAACCAAGACAAACCACAGGTTATTGTTGTGTTGGAAAAATGGCAAATAAAGGAGTTGGGGTGAGGCAGTCAGGACACAAGAATGACCAAGGAGAGCCCTGAGTCACTGCTGGGAGCACAGACACACGTGGGATGGGGGCTGGAGGGCATGGGGGCCCACAGCACGTCCTGCCGGGGCTGTTGCAACCTGCAGCTCAGGGATGCGGAGATGCAACCATGAGGACTCATCAGCTCTGCTGGCTGCATTATTAATAGAGGTGGAATTTGAGGATTTGGCCACAGCCATCACAGACGTCACCTCCTCGCTGGGCTGGGGACATCAGGTCTCCGATCCCACAGAGATCGACTCCAACTAAACCTCCCTGGGCCTTTCATGCCTGTGGCACTGGGTCAGGTGGCACCGAGGGAAGGTGGCACCTCATCCTAGCTTGCTCTGATCACAGAATTCAAAAGCATGACCTTCTGGAGCAAAAGCTCCACAGGAACTCGGCAAAACGCATCTGAATGCTCCACGTCGTTTCAAAATGCCCCACTGTTGTTTGGTGCTGCTGCAGATCCATCCTGACAGCCCAGCGACCCCCTGCACGCTGCTGCTGACCCCAAGCCTGCAGGCAGGCAGGCGGCACACGTGACAACGGTGCAAGGGTTGGAAAGGTGTAACTGTGCAGGGGGGAGCAGAGCCCCCCCCGCTGCCTCCCAGAGCATTTGGCCAGCTTGGGAAGGAAGTGTTGTCGTGCCAAAGCACGTTTCTCACCCAGGAGGGAGCAGCGAGGCAGGCCGGCGCCGTCCCTGGGTGACGCCCCCCCCCCCCCCTGCACTTACTGGGGCTGGAGAGGATGTTGGCATCTTCCTCATTGGAGCTGAGCAGGCGCATGAGCTTGGAGGGCCGCGTGTCGTCCAGTGGGAACAGGCTGATGTAGTCCTGGGGGGCAGAGGGGGGTCAACCCCACCAGCCTCTCTCCGTGGGGGACCCCAGCCCCCTCCCCAG